AATGTCCAAGATCATTAAATTCAGTGAAAGCTGCAGGAATGGCCATCTGCCCTGTAATTGTTCATTTTATTACTTAGCGGATACTCAATGCATCATGTGAATTTGCATGCACAGTAAGGATACGCAGAAACAATAAGGGCGAACGTCCTTAAATAAGAAATACAATCTTGAAAGAGTTCTTGATTTTTTCCCTTCTGCTTCATTTCAACTTCTCCTTTGCTCCACGTTCCCACTTAATCAGTGCTGTTGATCAAAGGGTGAATACTATATATTTCTGAATGAAGTGATACTGAAAATTACATTCTGTCAGTCTTTTGGGTATTTTCTAACAATTTGATGTCATCCTTCACTGTACTGACAAGTTTTGTTTATTATTATTATTTCAGTGCTCTACTGAAAGAGAAGAAGAGAATTTTCTAAAAAACAAGGCAGCTCAAGTGTTCAGCTTGATCTTTGTCTGTGACTATCCCGACAAAGTAAGCTGGTAACAATTTAGTATTGTTTTGATTCTACTAACCAAAAAGTCAATAATAACTTTCATAAAAATGAAAGGTGTGTGTTTGTACGTTGATGTTCCCCAATCTAAACCATATCCGTGCATTCCTTCTTTTCTAGTGGCCACTGTTTTTCTCAGATCTTCTGCAGTGCTTACAGTTCGGGGCTCAAGCAGTGGACATGTACCTTAGAATTTTAAAGGCTATCGACGAAGAGGTTGTGGACAGGGACGTCACAAGAAGTGCACAGGTCAGCATTTTAAAGCCTAGTCAGCCCAATTATTGATAAGTTATTGTAGTTGAAAATTTGAGGCAAAAACTTATACTTAGGTCAACCACAGATAGGTGAGTTGTCAGAATGTTAGACAATGAAGCTCAAGAGAACAACTAGACCTTTGCTTCCATTAGCTTCACAGACCAAAACGTAGCTTAAACATTATCTCCTCAGGGTTTCCTTTAGTTTGATCACAAGTATACACATGAGATGTCTATAGCAGCCTGACATATATAGTTCCCTGGTGCAG